GCGTTATGAGCCACTGGTTTGGGTGTGTCTTCTTTCATTGCGCAACTATAGGATGTTTTGCCCTAACGGAATTATAATTTAACTAATTTGAACGCATTGTTCAGTAGGTGGACGCCTATGATGAATCGGTTAGTTGGGACAGATAAACCCTCTTAACAGTAAAAAAAGAGGTTGATTTTGACAGATAAGGAAAAACGAGTTTATATATAAGACCTTTCCAAATTTTAGATAGACGCTCAGCGCAACCCTCATTTGTTTTTGTAAAAGAATTGGAATTATTCTAACGTAAAGGCGATTTTAAGATTTTCCATGTCTAATGGATATCCTGCAAAAGCATGTCCATGCAGTTTGCTTTACGTACGTTTTTACGTTTAGAATAATTTCAGTTCTTTTACATTTGAGCATTTGTGCGCTGAGCATTTGTCTAAGCACTCGTCACGATCATCAACACCTACGACAGTCGAATACTTTAGAAAAGCTTTTAGTATAAGCCGGAACCAGCAGACCGAAATGAGATTCTCGACTTTGTTTTCTGCAGAAGAAGAAATGAGAACCGCATGTGGAAGTATGGGCAATCCTTTCGACAATATCCGCCATTTAATCCTTCCAGTGTCTCTCTTTAAAAGGACAAAGTAGGTGAAGAACCGAAACTAGGGCAGCTTCAAACTATTAATGGAAGAATTATTGTCATAGACAAAATTTTGCACCTCACGCTACCGTAATTCCATAGCAAGCGGGTGTTGTGGAAAACCTAAGACTTTCGGCCACCACACTATAAGATCCGGGAGAATAAAAGAAGTTATCATTCAATTATTTAGCCTCTCGATAAGGTAAACCACAATAGGGCACTAGCATATGGATACAGAATTATGCTTTTGGTTATGTCGATAACTTGTTCACTTTCATTGGTAACTCAAGGCAAACCTACTGGATTAGAAAAATTTTTCTGAAACTTCAAAATAGTAGCTAACCACAATTTTTAGCCGTATGTAGTCAACATTGCGCGTTGCATTTATGTGTATGCAAATCTCTGAATTCGAAAGACAATAATATAGATAGAATGATAGACGATATCTACAATGTTTCGAATTTTTCTTTTTTGAATTGAGAAGAGTCAATTTTGAAAGTTAGAATAGGTTTTAGAAAAAAACCGATTTCACAATTTTTATTTTCTGGTAATTTTGCGAGGATAATAAGGCTCCAACGCAAATTACTATTGGCAAAACGTCTTCGTAAACGTTCTTTCGTAGAGGTATCCCAATGTATGGATCATCATGAATAGGGATGCGGATACATCAAATAGATA